TGGGCTCCTGCCGGCCGGGCATCCCGTCACTGCTCCGTGCCTTTCAGGTCCTGGACTGCCTGGACATGACTGACTGCGGTGAAAGCATCCTGGAGATCCTTTCAAAGCACCTACAGAGTGAATGCAAAGACAGACGTCGCCTGGCACTCAGAGGCCTCGTGGTGCTGAGCAAGGATCCTATGATGGTGAGGAGTGGGCAGGGACTGAAGCCGTGCTGGAATCCTGGGGCTGGGGAGTGCAGTCACTTGGGCTTGGCTGGGCTTCAGGAGCTGTGGCAGCTGCTCCCAGCTCTGCTGCCTCCCAGCTCAGCTGCCCAAGTGCCTTGGGACAGGTCTTTGGCTCAGCACATGAGGCTGCCCCACCAGAGTGGGGTTGTTGCTGCAGCCCTTCATGGCTTCCCAGCACAGCCTTGTGTTCCTCACAGGCCAAAAGAATGTGCATCCTCTCTGAAAGCCTTGTGGAGCTACTGCAGGATGCAGATGTAGAGGTGGTCGAGATGGCCTTGCCGATGTTCATGAATATGCTGCAGAACAAAGACATCCTAATCTCCAGGCCCACTGCCCCAAAGCTGGCTGAGGCACTCCGTCCACTCTTTGACAGCGTAAGGCTCTGTGCTCCTAGCCAGGGGTGCTGGGTGCTGGCAGGAATCTTTGGGCCTTGTGGATTTTCAGGCCTGTGCCCAGGTGGGCCTGGAGCAGCTGGTGCTGAGGTCTTTTCCTCTTCCTTTCCATCAGGACAACAGCCATGTGCAGGTCCTCTCCATTTGCCTCTTCCGAAAGGTGATGGAGTCGGTAGTGGCTGAGGGAAAGAAGCCCCTGGAGAGATATGTGAGCCAGAGCCTGTTCCCACTCTTTTTGCACTGGCATGAGGAGAAACAGGGACTGGCAGAGGTGAGGATTTTCTTGACTCTGGTGTCACTGCGGAAGGGGGCTGGGCTGCCTCCTGCCCTGGCACCTCGAAGGCTCCAGTCTCCTCCTGGCCTTGGTCCAGGGATACGGGTCCTGTGCCCTGGGCAGCGGTGCCATCTCCTGGACTCTGTTGCTCTGCAGGCCTCTCGGGAAGCGCTGCTTCGTGCAGCCAAGTTTCTGAAGAGGAGGGATCTCAGTCAGCTGCTGAAGACAGAGCAGCCATTGAAATTTAGCGAGCGCCTGGTAAGGATGGCCCCGAAGCCCCAGTCCCCGAAGAGGCCAGTGCTGGGCGCAGGCAGCTCCCGGCCAAGGGGCAGAGCCCCAGCCAACCCTTCCCACCGTGCCCTGCTGCTCTCTCCAGCTGGAAAAGGACAAGAGAAGAGCGGCCGAGTACCTGCACCAGGCCCTGCTGTACCTGGAGAGCCCACAGGAGTCCGTGCGAGAGGCGGCCCTCAAGTTCATTGGTAAGTCACAAGGTCCCTCCCCAGCCCCGGCTGCTGCAGCGGCAGCAGGATGCGGCCCGGGGATGTGCTGGGGAGCCCCGAGTGCCCTGGTGGCTGCCGCCCTGTGCCAGCCCAGCCCTGGGGAGTCCCGAGGCGGGAAGGCCCCGGGCTCAGCCCTGCCAGGGCAGGAGGGTGCGTGGCCGGGCCGGCAGCGCCGCCGGGGGGGAGCTGTGCCGCTGGGGCCCTGACAGGATCTGTGTTCCCAGGGATCGCCGGGGGGTACCTGCGGGGACAGCCCGAAGAGCTGCAGGTCATCTACGAGGGTGAGTGAGGGCAGCGCGGTGTCAGTGGGTGCTGGTGGAAGGAGCACGGAGCCTGGGCAGGGAGCTGCAATCCTGCCCTGGCTGTGGAGGGCTCTGCTCCCTGCACGGACAGAGCAGAGAGAGATTTCAGGGGCATGAGGGGTTTTGGTGGCCAGCACCTCCCGGCCGATCCTGTTGGGCCCTGCTCCCTCCTGGCCATGGCAAGAGCTGGGTGGGATGGTCCTGGCTGGAGGGGCTCCTCGGGTCCCCACCCATCCGGGCTCTGACCTTGGCTCTGTTCCTCTCTGTTCCAGCCCTTCAAGCCATGAGAAAAGACAACTGCCCCTCCTACACAAGCGTGATGGTTCAAGCCCTCTTTGACCAAAGAGCTCTAGTATTAAATTCATCTTCTGCATCGAGACAAGCGGTGCCCCTAGGAAAGCATCAGATACCATTCAACAGGAGACCACCTGGAGACCAGAGGAAACCATCTGGAGCTCCAGACACTGATCCCAAGCCCAACTGAGCCTGCCAGGAAGGCCTTGTGGCTCCTGGCCTGTCCTTCCCTCTTGACCCGTCCCTGCCTCCATACTGCTCCATCCCTTTAGCCTTCAGACCCAGCCTGTTCCCTTCTGCTCCCAGCTCATCCCTCCACTTCCCCTTCCCTTAATAAACAGTTGGGTTTCTCCCCCCTATCTGCATCTTTGTGGAACTGAAATGGCACAAAACCTGAGCCCTGGAGCACACGGGGCCTTTCTTTTTCCCCCTTGCGCCGTGTGCAGAGAGAGAGAGGGACAAGGGCAGCTCAGACTGGAAAGGTCCCTGTCCTGAAGGTGCAGTTCCACAACATTGTGGAGTTAAAGATCTTGCTGGGCACACTGAAGGCCAGTGGTAGGACAAAGAGCCTGAATATTAGCAGAGCCAGCTTCAGTCTGCTCTGAACCAAGCTGTGAAGGTTTCCATGGCAAGCATCCATGGAGGGCAAAGGAGCTTGGAATGCTGGAAGTTACTCAAGAATAGCTTCCTGAAAGCACAGCAATGGTCCATCCCTACAAAGGGGAAAGAAGAAGGCAGAAACAGAGACCACCATGGCTTAACAGTGAGTTTTGTGTGAGCTTGAAAGCAAAGGAAGAAGCAGCACACTGCCTGAGACACAGACATGTGTCCATCCCAGTGTAAGGAGCGCTGCCAGGCAGTGCCTGGGTACCGTGCCTAGGTCTGGTCCCCATAGTTCCAGAATCACAGCCCCTGCATCAGACACAGTCAGAAATCAAAGCAAAGGAGACCAGAGGGAGGGAACCGTTCCAGTCTGTCTTGGGCGTTGCTGCAGAACAACCACCGCTTCTTGCTCTGCCTGGATCTGGGCTTTGCTGACCTCAGAGCCAGCCAGGTTGTGCTCTGGTGCCCAGAGGCTGTTCAGAGAGGGCAGGAAAAATGCTCCATGCAGAGCGGAGAGTCCTGGACGTTGCTTACAAGAGCATCCTGCAGGAACAGGGATCTGGTGTCTCGCTGATAACACTCGGGGTTTGCTGCCAGGCCTGGAGGCAGGAAGTGTTCAGGGCTGTGAAGATGCCAAAGCAGCCCAGCTGTGTCTGCAGAGGGCCTGGGGCTGGGAGTGTGAACCTACAGCTGGAAACACACTTGGAGCAATAGGAGCTGGAGTGGCTGTTCTTCAAGGAGCAGAAGGAATTCAGCCTTGCCAGGGTTTCTGAAGTGTGTGTTGGTGTTCCCCAAGAAAGTGACAGGTTTGGGTAAATGCCTTTGGAGACAAGGGGCTTGTTCCTCAAGGAAAGTGCTTCTCAAAGAGTTCCCCATGAGGTTAGTCCAAAGGTGTCCCTTTGGCTCTCCATGTCCTTTCACTCCCTGTGGCCCATTGCACTTTGTAGAGAGGCAGAGGAAGGGGGAAGGCTGTGAAGAGCAGGTTTGGGTTCTGCCTGTGCCTGCGGAAACCAAGCCAAGCAGCTGCCAGCAGGCTCTGTTAGCCACCTTTCAGCAGAGGTCTGAGCAGGAGCATCTCTGTGCAGCTGAGAGCCCCAAAGCTGTCGGGGAAAGCTGTGAATTCAAAGGCCTTTATCCACACCCTTATGCCATCTTACCTATCTGGGCTTTTGAATTCCCAGATGTATGTTGGTGTAGAGTCGTGAAAGCCAATAAAGATACAAGGAGTCAGTTATGTGCAGAAAAGATGTCTGAAATTTATTTTTCTCATCTGCTTTTTTATACCCCTTGCTAGCAGCAAGCAGTATCCTTATTTTAGGTAAGCAAGCAACAGCGTTTTCATTGGCTAGGATCTATGGGCGATACATTTGGCAAAGCTCAAGGCCTTATTGCAGGTCCCACATCCTAGGCCTACCAACTTTACAACCTGCCTTTGTTTTCTCCATCAGGGCTGTGTACTGACTTCCTTATCATCAAGGATACACCCAGAAGTTTGCCCAGTCAATATCTTCATCCTGGGAGCTAACAGACCCACTATTAACCCCTTCACCCAGAAATGTGCCTTTGCCTCTTGCTTGGTGGAAGCTGCTCTGGGCCAGGGGCAGCACAGAGCTGGGGTGTGTGGGTCAGGCATGATGGAGAGTCCTTGTCTCTGATCTTGGTGTGTCCCCAACCTCAGGAAAGGGTTGGAAGGTTTGTCTGCTAAAGCATCCTGCTCATTGGCTCATCCTGTGCATCCTGGAGAGATCCAGGTAGGCCTTTTTGGCAGCTGGGCATTAGCAGAGCTTAAACTGGGGGCAAATTCAGCTGAGATACCCTGGGAGGTGCTGTATGCTCCTCTCTGCTGCCACGGGAGGGTTTTTCTGGGTTGAGGGTGATCCTGGGGGTGTGAGGGGGTGCCACGTGTACACAGGCCAGCCAGTCCTGTCCCCCTGGGTCCCTGCAGTGCCCCCCAGCAATCCTGCCTCCCCGTGTGGATGCTGGCCAAGGCTGGGCTGCAAGTGAGGCAGCTGGTTGTAAGCTTGCCTGGAGCTCCATGTCAAGCCCAGTGGTGTTCCTTCAGGACATAGCAGTGCTGAGGGGTCTCCTCTAAGCTGACAGATGCCTCTCACCTCTTGTGGCGCAAGTTGCTTTCTTGTGGAATGTTCTCTGTTACTGGAGAGTAATGAGGGAGCTGGAGAAAGAGCTCGGTAGCTGCTTTGGATTGTCAGTGTAGATTCGTGACGGCCGATAAAGATACAAGGAGTCAGTTATGTGCAGGAAAGATGTCTTCTTCCTCTTTATTTTCTCATCTGCTTTTTTATACCCCTTGCTAGCAGCAAGCAGTATCCTTATTTTTAGTAAGCAAGCAACAGCATTTTCATTGGCTAGGTTCTATGGGCGATATATTTAGCAAAGCTCAAGGTCTTATTGCAGGTCCCACATCCTAGGCCTGCCAACTTTACAGCCTGCCTTTGTTTTCTCCATCAGGGCTGTATACTGACTTCCTTATCATCAAGGATACACCCGAAAGTTTTCCCAGTCGATATCTCCATCCTGGGAGCTAATAGACCCGCTATTAACCCCATCATTGGGTCATTGACCAGCAGTTCTGGTTAAGTGGAGAGACTTGCCAGTTGCTTGGAAATGAGCAAATGGAAGGCCCTCGTGCAAGAAGGGTGGGAAGGATGATGTGGGGAACTATGGGCCTGGCAGCCTGCCCTCGGTACCAGGGAAGGTGGTGGAGCAGATGATCCTGAGTGCCATCCCCAGGCACGTGCAGGACAACCAGGGCATCTCCTGGAGGGTGGGAAGGTTCTGCAGAGGGATTAGCCAGAGATGCTGGGGCGGGGTGGGTGTTGAGGTGTGGGAGATAAGCAAGAGGAGAAATTGCAATATTGAAGATGGATCGAGGCCCTAAAAGAGGTGACGAGAGATGAAGATGTCATTTAAGACTACAGAATATTCTCAGAGGCAATGGACTTTATTGACAGAGTTAGAGTTTAATGCTAAAATAGAGTTCTTATGTTGTAGCCCATAATTTTTGTAGAAATTCCCTTAAACTGTTTATCCCCTCATATCCCTGTTTCCTTATAAACCCTCCCCCAATCCTTATGGAGTTGTAAACCCCTCCTATACTTTCCTTGTTTGGGCAGGCCCTCCTACCCTTTACATATTTGGTATGCCACACCCACTGTTCTAGCAACTTCTCTGCTCCCCCTACGAGGGGGAAGCCATCTTAATAAAGGGTTCACTCTTGTTGACCTACAACCTGTCTCAAAACTCTGAGTGAATTTCCCTGTATCCCTAGCCGGGCTGTAATAGTGTTGGAATTTTTTCCCTAGGGTACCTTGTCGTCGCCCCCCCAGTCTGTTTCTTCTGGGATGGGGGGAGTCGGGGATGGGGTGGGGGCAGAGCGGAGCTGCAGGCGCTGGGCAGGGTGGGAGCGGGGAGAGGAGGAGGTCTCCCGGGGAAGCACGGTTGCCACAGGCACGGCCGGGAGTCTGTCGTCTGGGGGGTTTCTTTGGTTTTGGTGTGCACCGGACAGAGCGGCGAGTCCGGTTTTGGCTGCCTGCTTTTTCTTTGCCTGAGAGGAAGTTTCTTTTCCCCATGGGACACCTCGTGGAGAACGACTGAGAGAAAGAGATCAAGCCATCTCAGAGCGAGGTGTTCTGCCTTCAGACGGCCTGTGGGAGAAAGGATGTTTTTTTTCTTTTCAGTGCTGGCTGCGAGCACAGGTGGCTGCGAGCAGCTGTTGGACTGCCAAAACAGTCCTGCCTTCTCTCCCCACTCCCCAGGTTGCGTGGGTTTCCCCCCTCCACCTGGGGAATTGGGACTTTGCTTTGTTTCTTCTGAAAGGTTTTGATTGCACCATTTGTTGTTTATTCAGATTTGGTTAATAAAAAGCTGTTTCTTTTCCTTTTCCACACTTCCACCGGAAGTTCTAAGTTGTAATCTTGTTCAACTAAGACACCTTGCCCTCACATTCCTTCTGTGTGTCACAGCCCCGTGTTCGGGAGGGCCACCAGCCGGCACTTCTCCCAAGGAGCCCGTGCCAGCTTGTGTGGAGGCCCCGTGGCCTTCCCGCTGCGGCTGCATCGGCAGCCGAGGGGGCTCCTTCTGCTGCCGTGGGCAGGCACAGCAGGGGAGGGTTTGCTTAGTTTTTCAGCTGTGCCTAAAGTTCATGTCCAGCTGTCTTGGATGCTTTGGACAACGGACTCCTTCCCACCTGGGGCAGTTTGGCCGGGCTAGGGGAGGCCCCAGGGCACGTGGCAGTGTGTCACAGGGCTGTTTGTGACACGATGGGATGGCACGGGGCAGGGTGTCACAGGGCCCTTTGTGACACGTGATGACTTAGTAGTGGTGGTGAGGTGGCCACGCCTCAGTGCTCCTCGGAGCGTGCGACGGGACGGACGGGACAGAGCGGTGCTGTGCGGAGCCCCCGTGCAGCCAACTCGTTCCTTGCTAACCCGAAGCGTTTTGGTGGCGTTTTTGTGGTGTGAGCGTCCTCGAGGCCAGACCGCGGGACTTGGTGACACGGAGCTTTTGCGAGGTGTCCCCAGTCCCTGCGGCAGCTGCCCTTGAGGCCGCGCTGCAGGACTTGCTAACCCCTAGCGTTTGCTAGGCTTTTCTGTCTTGCAAGTGTCCTCGAGGCCGGACCGCGG